GATCAAACCGAAAAAACTGATGGTAATATATTGACATATACTAATGATGAGATTACTGAACTATCAAAAAATGATACTGAGGCCAACTCCAAGGTAAGTAATGAAACTAGCATTAGCAAAATTAGTGAGGATAATATGTCCACTTTAATTGAATCAAATTCTCAGATGAGGCCTGGTCTCAAGGCTTTGCCTCTTCCTGTTGTGGCAAGCACTTTGATGTCACTACTATCAGCATATATATTTTTTATTTTGTTGATTATCGTGGTTATGTGGTTTGTGAGATGTATATAGAGAATAAATAGGAAAAGTGATCAGTTATGGGATACGTGGACGAGATATTAGGAACTATCTATTTAAACTTTGATATTTTTTATGTATAAAAATATAATATCTTTTTAACCATACCTAATATTTGTTGCAGTTGTAAAGAAGTATCATTACCATTATATGCAGATTGCATTGTTATACGATCCTTTATGGTGGTTGGAATGAGATTTCACAGTGGTCGTAAATTTAAGAAATCGGATATCATCACTCTTGAACCAGAACCTTCTAATATATATGACATAAATGCAATAAAAGTTATTGTAGATGGTATTCATAAAGCCTATATAGCAAAGAATGAAAATGAAAGCATTGAAGATTTAATAAAATGATATCCAACTTATCAGATAAATGCTCATAGAAAGAAAAACTATAATCAATCAGCATCTTTAAATCTCAAATATCCTTGGATAGTTTGTAGGAGATGTCATGATACGCTTCAAACGTCAAGGAATTATAGATATGATTATTAACACATTATATTTGAACTTGAGTATTATTTATATATGAAAATATTATTAATATTGTATAAGTATCACTAATATAAAGATATATTTATATTGAACTGACTGCTCTCTTCTATATATTTAGAAAATCGTTAAGTGCCAGTCGATCAGCTTTCGTTATATTGGGTATAATAAGTTGCTCGACAACTATCTCATTTTTTCTCATAGTTTCAGGTCGTCCAATGTTATCTGAGATAGATACATGTTCTTTATATCACATATGATATACTAAATGATGGAAAAAGATATCATATTTCTCGATAAATGGGATAAGTGCATTTGGGCTTTTGTAAAATCAGAGCATATAGATTTTTTTGTCTTAGTATTTATTGAGAGATTATTATTCTCAGTATATGCTCTGGCATATTCTACAAACTTTTGCCATAATCTCTTTATGGAATCATTTCCCTTAAAATCTTCAAAGATTGACCAATCTCCATAAAATATTTCATATATGTTACCTACTTTCTGATTTAATAAAGATTGTGCAGTTTTGATTGCATTTTTGTAGGCATGTTTGTAAGCATACCCACGAGCAAGCATCATTTTATTCATAATTCCACTTAAGCTATTTACATACTTCTCTAACCATTTCTTTGCCTTTTTCTGGGAATATTCGTCGATCTGTTTATATCTTTCATCTGAGACCATAATCTTCATAATCTTATCAGAGGGTGGTGGTTGGTATTTATCATCATAATTGATAAATCTAGCACAAAAGCCGATAATTTTATTTTGAAGATAATATGATAGGTCCATTTCTTTTCAAGATTTTTTGCAACATCAACAAATTCTATTCGGTTGCTCTTAGTTAAGTGAAGTTTTTTACCAGATAAATCAAAATCTTTATCAGTCTTGAATATTACATAACTGAAATGCTCACCTGGTTTAGAAATCTTATTTTTATATATTTTTCTCATAGTCTTATGAACTGTTGAATAGTTAAATTTTGTACATTGGGCTTTCACATATTAGTTTAGATAAATTAGTCAAATTTCTACTGTTTAGAATTTGGCACAGCATCCTTAAGAATATCTTCAACAATTTTATGAAGTGATTGATCATTCTCTCCATCATTAACTTCCATAGCTTTCTACATAATTCGTTCACCAATAGCTATAAAGAGTTTTGACTGCCCTGCTTCACAGTATTGATCCCTTTAATAAATAATTTTTTCAGCTTAAAGTTTGGAATATCTTTATGTGGTATTCTGAAATATTTCTTTTTACCAGTAAAGATGAAGGAAATAATACCTCTTCATAAGCCATTTTGAGATAAGTTGATCTACTTTTATCTTAAGATAGGTATTCACTTCATTGCGTAATTTTTTTATTGTTTCTATTGTGATTTTAACCATTTCGGTCCAATATTCTAGTGTTGAGATCGTACCTTTACTATTATTATAAGTGAGATCACATTCTTTATAATATTTATCGGGACAGATGAGATATAAAGAATCAGTATCACCATATTTGATTCCAAAACCTTTTTTAGTTACATAATCTGCGACAAGTTTGATATTGATCTGACCTGCCGAAGTAATAGCTCCTACAAGCTGACGTAGAAAGAATGGAGAAAGACTGTTACTCGCCTCACCGTAAAATGTATTCATATATATTTTTACCGCTTTTTGTTTCAAATTCAAGCAAGTGTGATCAAAACAGATAGAATTATATTTTTTTATAAAATTCTCATAGGTTTTACTTATAAAAGGAATTAAGGTTCCAGCTATATCAGTATGATTTTTTTTGATATAAAAGCACCCTCATTCTGTGAGTCTTTCTCATTTTTTAGGATATAATCAATAGAAATCTGTTAGTGAAAAACTCTTCTCTTTCATTTTGCTAATTACTAATTCCATATGCTCCTTTTTCTTAGCCAGAATTCCAAAACTTGATTTTATTTTATTTCGCTTATCCAATAATTTTTTCAGAACTAATGAATATAAACCTTTATTTTTAGATTTGTTTTCATACAATACTGACCAAACTTGTAGATTTCGACCATTAAATAAAAATTCGATTTTATGGAGGCATGTCCCTTTTTGTTGTAGATTAATAGCTTCTCTTTTCTTTAGTATTATTTTTTTCAGATGAAAAGTTGTAAAACATGATAATAAATAGATATAATAATATAAAATCCAAACCCGTAACTGGACGTTTATTAATGAGGCCTTTTACGGGAGGAAATACATGAGTGCCAAGATATTTCTCAGATTCTATATCATACTAATCAATACATTCTCCTTCCAGGCTTCAGCACCTAAGAGATTATATACTTTCATTCTATTTGCACGGTAGTGTGCATCGAATAGAGAAATGTAAGCAATCGATACAACTTCTCTATTGTCATTTATCACATTTCGTTTAACAAGAAGTTGTTGATATCGTAGGGCATCATTAATACAGTATTCTGCTACTTCACACATATTTTTTGCAGATGAGATGGAATCTCGAGACTTTGTCTCTTCTATAGAATAACCTTGTTTTGCTATTTCATAATAATCCCACATACATTTTATTGGCATATCAATTTTACCTCTAAGATCACACATTTTTAAATAAAACTTGAGTGAGCTTCCTTTTTGCACTTCAGATCATGGATATAGTTTTTTGAAACTTGCACGAACATCAATTAGAACACATCCTGGCAACTTCAGAAAAGAAGAAATAAAGAACTCTTCTGGACTTAACTTAATTTTTACTGCTAGCTGACTAAAATCTTCTTCGTATTCATTTTCTTTAACTACTTTATAACTGTTTTCAGCAATATTTGAAGAACATCCCATAGAACCTGGGCTTTTTCTCATATTTCTATAATAATTCTAACATAAAATTTGTTTGTTTGTACTTTGTTGTGAGTTTGCAGACATTTGTAACTACATCTATTCAAGAATATGTAGTCGGCTAGCCTTCTCTACAATGAAAAGCCAATTATAGTCTAAATCATTGAAACCTATTACAATATCTGGTGCTAGTGCTCACCAACATAGTGCAAATGCCTTTAATAAATTTGTTTGATTTTCACATATGATTGTGATCCAATTTGGGTCTGGCTCAGTTTCTACATTGACAAGACAGATTTGCTTTAGTGGAGTAGGGTCGTCTTTCCAGTAAACTGTCATACAAATCATAAATACATTATCCTCTGAATGCCATGGTCGAGGTAATTGATCTATTCCATGTTCTGTATGGGTTTCTATATCCTACATTAGTACTAAAGTGCGATCATGAATCATATATGAAGTTGGAAATAAATTGCTTATTTCATCTAAGTCTTTTATAGAATGAAAATTCTTTACAGATACTCTAAATGCATATGAACAAAGAGAAAAACTTTTACTATAACTGTAATTGCTTATTACCCCCCACCCCGTAAGAGAAATTCAGTACAGTATAACCTCGATATAACGAACCTCAATAAACCGAAAATGCTATTATAACGAATATTTTTTTCAGCTAGAATTTTATAGTTTAAAATTACCTCAATATAATAAATTTTAATTATAAAACCTCGGTATATCATATTACGAAACAATTTACAATTTATTTATAAGAAAATTACCTTGATATAACAAATACCTTAATAAAGCAAAATATTAAGCAAATATTTACTATATAACGAAACTTTGTATAACTTAATCAAAGTGTAATCAAAGTATAATCAAAGTATAGGTATTTTTTTTTACTTGAAATTTTTACATTGTCTCTTTTTTCAGTATGAATACAGCTACAAATAAGTAGCAATTTGAAAATGAGCCTAATAATACTCAAAAGAAAAAAAGAGTTACCTTGACCAATAGCCAATGGTATGATTTATGTCTTCAGAAAAAAATGAGCCTAGTATTAAAAATCGGGAACTTGCAGCCAAATTTGGAATTAGCGAATCTTCTTGTAGTGAGATTTTAGCAAAGTCAGACCACTGGTTATCTATTAATCTAACTTCTAATAGCGCAAATAATAAACAGAACAAAAGACCTGTTTTTGTAAATGTTGAGTCAGCCGTTGCACTTTGGGTTGAACATGTGATAGGAAATAAGCAAACCTTAACTGGTTATCTTATTCAAAATAAGGCAAAAGAATTCGCTCAATTACTAAATGAAGATAAGTTTAATGCATCAAATAGATGGTTGCATAATTTTAAACAAAGGCACAATATTCGTGAATACAAATGTCAAAGTGAAGCTGATAGTGCACCTTTAGACAAATTACCTGAATTTAGAAATAAATTACAAAGTATTATTCAACCATATCAGCTTGATAATATTTTTAATTACGATGAAACTAGTTTATATTATAGATTGGAACCATCTCGTACATTAGCAATAGGACTGGTTTCAGGAACTAAAAAGGCAAAAGATCATGTTACAGTATTGCTAACTACAAATGCAACTGGCTCAGAAAGGTTAAGACCATTGTTAATTCATAAATATAAAAATCCACATTCAATTCGAAACATGGATAAAAGCAAGTTGCCTGTTGATTATTTTTGGAACAAATCTGCTTGGATGCAAAAATCTATTTGGAATCTTTATCTTAAAGATTTGAATTCAAAAATGTGACATCAAAAGCGTCACATATTACTTTTAATTGACAGGGCATCAACTCATGTTCTTGATGAAGATTTAGTGTTAACTAATATAAAAATAGAGAAGCTATCTCCAAATATCACAGCCTATATCCAACCGATAGACGCTGGAATTATTAACTCTTTTAAAGTATATACATTATAGTAATACTGTATAAATAAATTTATATATAATACATTACTTTATTAAAGTTTTAATTTTTTTTTATAAGGCCAAGTACAGACGTTATCTTATTCAAAACCAGTTGGATGCATATGAATTTGCACAAATAAGTCAAACTCCTCCAAGCCCAGTTAATATAAAAGAAGCTATTGATTATTGTGCATTGGCATAGAATGAAGTTTCAGATGAAACAATTAGAAATTGTTGGCATAAGACTGGAATTCTTCCAGTTAAATTAGACAATAATGACTTACCATTAGATGACTATCACTATGATGAATATTATAGTGATCAATTAGAAGTTCATAATTTAATTGAATAGCTTCCTATTAACGTTAATGATGTTTTATTAGCATCAGAATATATAAAGATCGATAATGAATTATCTACAACTGCAATTCCATCAAATCAAGAAATCATTGCTGCACTTCAGGAAGATGATGATGATGAGAGTGAACCCCCAATTCAAATCTCACTTAATACGGCAATGGAAAGCTTGAAAAATATTAGATTGTTTTTAGCTAATCCACCAGAAAATCTGCGCATTGAAAATGAAGATTCAAAAATCGTAAACTCGCTTAAAAAACGAATTTCAAGCTTAATCATACAACAAAAAAAGCAGACAAGTCTGGAATTATTTTTTAACAATGAATAACTGTAGTTCTGAAAGTGTCCATTTTATGCAAAGGATATTTTTTTTTTTTTTTTTTTTTTTTTTACCTTTTTTTTGTTTTTTTTTTTTTAAGAAATGTTTTAGCTAGTTAAATTTGAAATTTTACAGGTAAGCGATTAGAATGATATATATGTTTTATACTATACGGTATTTGGTTTTTAGTAACTTATAGCTTTGTGTCTATTCTAGAATACTTTATATATCAAAAATTTATTCGCAGTTCTATTTTATGTAATGGGTATTATTACAGTAGATCACTACTGTTTCGCTAGGCCAATCAATTTATGAATTCAAATCATGATTTTAAATGTTTTATCCAATTTTTTTTTTTAAAAAAAAAATAACTTAGCGACTAGTCCACGACAAATCTTATTCTGATTAATGTACTACAATGAAGGTTTATTGGGAAACTAACCTTTACTTTAAACAGTAGCTCATTTATAGAATGAAACTTACCATATTGCATTTACAGAAAGTTCAGTCTCACAATATAGCTTCCTCATCATACGCTTCTACTAATACCGCAGTACCTACCATAAATTCTGAAGATTCTTCTACCCATTATTGCTATAGGCCTGAGTCCTCAAAAGTTAAGGTTTTACAATTTGTCTCTTTAAAAATATGTTCAACCAAGTTTTTAAAATTTTTGATTACAGTAAATATAAATTAACATTATTGTAATTCCAATATTTTTACAACAGCGTGAAGAAACAAACCAGAAACTTACCATGCAAAGAATTATCTTCGGCATTCATTTACCACTAAGACATATTATGGAACAGGGTATTGTGTCCAAGGTGGGTTGATATATGAGCGATGCCAAGTAAAAATCTAGAATAGTGATTTTTTTGATCACTATTCTAGGTTTTGCTTGGCGTCACTCATCATTTTGTGGGTCTTATTTATTGTATTGCATTAATGGCTTTTTATTTAGATGCGACACTTGCCACCTTTACCATCATCTCATTTTGGTCTAGAAATATTGATGGGTAAAGATGAAACGATTGATTTTGAAGATTTTTTAAATTGTACGGATTATTAACAGAGCATTTTATTTGTTCACTACATTTAAAAATTTTCTATAATCTAACAGATTGCATTAATTTAGATGACATGTAAAGAGTACTGTATATGCCTATTACAGGCAACAATGAAAATGAAAGTTTTATTTATCCTTAAGACCAGCCCAGTCCTATCTCGTGTCTGGTCGTTGTTTTAAAACAAGAACTACCTAAAAAAAAAAAATTAATCCAGTAGCTAAAAAAGAAACTAATAAAGCAAAAAAAAAAGCTAGTACTTATCCTAAAGACCAGCCCGGTTCTATCTTGGTCCAGTCGCTGCTTTCAAACAAGAAATAACTAAAAAAAAAAAAAAATTAGTTCCGTTAACTGAAAGAGGAACTGATGAAGGACAACAAAAAATTAATACTTATCCAACAAGATTATACCTGAAAAAAAAAATGTTAGTAAATATAGAAAAGAAACACAAAAACAAATCAATTTACATCAATTCCAACGACTCCAATAATGATAACTGCAACGATGACTCCAACTTCAACAACAAAACGATATTTGAAAAAAAAGGTTTATCACCAAAGAACGATGCAAAGACTCCAAAAATCTTTCAAGCACCTAAATAAGAAAGTTAGTATTCATCACTACCGATTATGGTGAATTGAATAAGTTGCTCTTGTGAGTTAATAATGCTTCCAAGTGCATAATATATTTTTGTTCTAATGAGTAGAAGATCTCTGGCTTAATTTGAAATATTAATGAGTCGTAGACGATATCAGACCAACTTTGAGCTATTTATTAGTCATTACTTCTAGACAACATAAATCGAGAACTTTAAGCCTTAAGAAAACTTGTATTATTAAATAGTGATCTTTTCAAAGAATAGGAATAGACATTTTGCATCAACGTCGGCTCACAAGTCCGCATGAGTATAAAGAATAAAATTCATTTCTAAATTATTTCTATTAATTCAGGCATACTGTATTAATCCATATCAGAGAACGACGCAATGGTGTCAAAGATCCTAAATAATGCAAAAGACAAGAACCAAGTAAAAATAACTACAGTCAACTCTTTCTATAATGAACTGAAGATTCTGGAAGAACAAAAAGTTCTGTTATAGAAAAGTTCGTTATATTCAGAGTCATGTATATACCTTTCTTTTCCAAGTATTATACACGTATTGATGATAGTGGAAGATGAGATAGAAGATTATCAATCATCATGTTTTGACTAGCCAATCAGTTTGACTAGGTCCCAAATTACGTAACCCGCACTCTGATCATCACATTGATAAAAATAGATGATCATAACAATTTTTACATTTACCATCCTCTCGATATTGAACATGCCTAGCCTTGACGTTGTATCTATAACTCCTAACCCTAACCTTTAGCGACAAAGACTGTTCTTACTGGTTTTTCAGAATTTGGATCTAACCATCCAACTAGACGAGCGAGTGCTCTGGTGAAGATGTAATTTGGTTAAATCCTTCGTGTTCTATATTAACCACCTAACTAGACGAGCAGGTGCTCTAATATAGATATAAATCTAATATTCGACATTAATCACCCGACTAGATGAGTGGGTGCTCTGGCGAAGATATAAATCTGAAGATTTAATTTAAGGCTCTACCTTTGTACAGAAACCTAATTTTTTTGCTGCTAAGATCTTTAGAACCGAGTTTCTTTCAGAGTAAACGTTAGAAACCAGTAGTAGATACAACAATCAGGTGCTAGATATATAGAAAAATTTCTGGGTTTATAGAAGATATTCATCTAACCTAGTGTTTTTTTACATCTTTTTTTTCCTGGTCGATTGCTGACATCTCAACACGGTGATCAAGTGATCGAATTTTATAAAAAATTCGGCCAAGATCAGCTTAAAAAATTTATTATAAGATTTTTTAAGATAAGTTTTTTTTTAAAAATTTTTTTTTTTTTTTAAAAAAATATAATACTAACTAGTTTTTCATTTTTGTTATAGTCGCTTATTACTCATTATTTAGAATTAAAAAAAAAAAGGATCCAACTGACCAACCGAATTTTTGAAATCCTGTAATGCAAAAGAACGAATATGATTTATAATATTACGAGGCTGAAGTACTGCTATTAGGGATGTATTACATAAATTACTTTGTTACGTTTCATTTAAATTACATTGTAATTTACGAAATTGTATTGTAACTTTATATTGAATAGTGCATTGTTACATGATAATTTTACCTACATTACAAAAGTTTAGCCAGCACTAATAGATATCCATCATTATGTTCAGAATTGTAATTACATATATTGTAATTATAAAGTGACTCTAAATATGGAACATGTACCTATTGTAATAGTGTCTGTCATGCGATCCTGATATAGAAATAACAAGATGGACAAGTAGAAATAAGGATATTGATGATTGTATAAAAAAGTTCTAACTTAGAGCCAATGAATATGAAAATGCAATCGAATGAATTCCATTTGATAGATTATCTGATAAAGAAATTGGCAAAGGAGGATTCAGCTCTGTATATTCAGCAACCTGGTTAAATAGTGTTTGAAAAATTGAGGAAAATAAAATTGATGATGACAACTATTCCTATAAAAGATCGCATAAAGCATCTAGCATCGTTGTACTCAAGACTTTGCCTGATTCTTTAAAAGAAATAAGTTAAATCTATTTATTCAATAATTTATTAAATAAAGAATAAACTAATTTATTTTATTTG